AATGAAGTTCCTAAGAAGTTAATTTCTAATTTAAAAATATTATACGAAGTTAAAAAAACATCTATTAACGAACATTCTTTTAAACCTTTCTGTTCGAACTCTCGGTAGTTCATACTCATGTCCGCGATTGCGTAATTAGCAAATATTCTGTTTTAACGCCATCAACAACGACTCGTTGATACCTATTAGTTAGGAAATTGATGGTAATGGTAATGGTAATGGTAATGGTTTATTAACACATTTAGTAGTAGTTACGCTAATTTACAATGTGTTTACAAATTTGGGTATAAAAATGTATATATATATTATATATTTACATGTCATTCATTAAAATTAAAGTTTTACTAATCTATATCTATTTACAATATGTATAAAAACTACTAATGCATACCTATTTGTACATTAACTGATAAAATTTTAAAAATGATGATCCTAATCAACTAATCTAGAATTATATAAGTATATACAGTAAACTAAAGGACTGTGTTTAAAACGTTCGGTTTTAGAGGGGAAATTATATAATTTCTGACTGTTAGTTCTTGTTTCTTTTTGCCTAATGTATTTTAGTTTCTTTGGTAAGAGGCTATGAAGTTTATGGTTTGGTTCCAGCATTTTTTTAATTAGAGATACACATAATTCGTCCCTACGTTCTTCCAAAGTTTGTAATTTTGTCTCAGTTATTGCTTGGTCGTAGTCTAGGTTTGGGTAAATTATTCTAAGTACTCGTTTTTGAATTCGTTCAATGCTCTTTTTCTGCTCTTGGGTTAGACCTCCGTTCCAAATCTCCGCACCATATTCTAAAACAGGACGAATTACCGAACAGTAAAATGCTAACAAATCATCCATGGGGGCACCATAACTCTTCAAGATCTTTAATAAATACAGACGCTTGGCCGCTTTCTTTGTAATATATTCCGTATTAGTTTTCCATTTAAGATCGCAATCTAACCATATTCCCAGTAACTTATATGACTTCGTTCGAGAAACATTATGACCACCAACATAAATTGGGGGTATAGAGGTTATATTTTTCCTAAAGTCAATAATCATCTCCATACACTTTTTATAGTTTAGTTCCATTCCTTCGTCCTTTGCAAACTGTACCACCTTGTCTACGTTCATTTGAGTATTACCGATTGGGATGCCACCTAAATGGTCACTGACATTGATTACTTCCGATAATGTTGTGTCATCCATAAACATCGCTACGTCCTGGTCTTCTACGGCATTACATATTTGATCTTGGTTATTGGGTATAATAGACGTTGGTAATTGGTTTATTTTTATTATAAACGCAATAGGACCCAACTTACTCCCTTGTGGAACGCCTCCCTTGATTCTTTTACAATCAGACTGTTCTCCATGGAAAGACGTTACTTGTGATCTGTTATAAAGATATGATGCAAACCAACCAACCACAGCTGGACGAACGCCGATTTGCATAAAATTTTCTAGCAGCACATTATGATTGATCAAGTCAAATGCCTTTCGAAAATCAAGAAACGTAATACGAACAATTCTTTGGGGGCTTTCCATTGCCATATGCCATTTATGTAACAAATAAATCAACGCATGTATTGTAGATGTTCCAGGCAGACCGCCAAATTGACTGCTACTGATTTTATCATAAACATCCTCATAAATCCAATCATTAACGTATGATTCTTGTACCTTTGATAATGTACTCGTTAATGAAATAGGTCTTAAAAGGTCTACCCTAGAGCAGGGTTTACTTTTAGGAATCCCACACACCCTCGAAATTTTCCAAATATCTGGGAATACTCTGCAAGTAAATGATTCGTTAAAGATGTAACATAACGGCTCGGCGAAGTATTTTGCGAATGTTTTTATTATCTTTACATTCGGGTCGAACGGACCGCTTGCTTTATTCGGGTTAAGTTTACTTAACTTATTTGCTACACTATCTGCGGTGATGTTCGGTAGTTGTTCTTCCATTCCAACATTAAACCAGCTATCATGTACTTCCGAGTAATTACTAGTAAGACTAGTAAAATATTCGTTCATCAGATTAGCTGTGTCTTTTGAATTTAGTGGGGTATCAGACTGTGGGCTATTTAGAATAAATTCCTGTTTACTCTGTCCAGTAATGTTTTTTATATTTTTCCACCACTGCTTTGAATTGGAACAACGAGCAGGTTTGATTTTTTCACTGTAATATTTCTGCTTCTCTTTCCGAATTTCTGAGGTAATTTTATTACGAAGCGATCTGTATTCTTCCATTCTCCCACGTTGGTACATTTTATTTCTGTTAGATATCATTTGTTTAATCCTCCCAGTCATAAAGGGTTTGTCATCTTTATGGACCTTGACAATTTTTGTTGGAAAACAGTTATCAATCATTGCATTAGTAATCGATAAAAAGGCGTTCACTTTGGTGTTAATACACGAGGCCTCGTAAACCGCTGACCACGTCTCTAGACCGATACAGTCTTCAAACAAGCGCAACCTCATTTCTTTAATGGGTCTCACTGTAATCTTTTTATCTCATTTTTACCCGAGCTTGTTCTTTCGATTTCCACATAATAGCGCTGTGGTCTGAACAGCCAATCGGTGCCAGAGATACTGGTGTTTCATAAAACGAATGTGCATTGGTCAGGATTAAGTCTAGAATTGCGTTACCTCTGGTTGGTGTTCTGATTACTTGTTTTAACTTACAATGATTTTTAAGGACTCTTTCCTGAAATCCATTACTTAAGGGATTAAAATCTCCAGTAATAATAATTGATGTATTTGGACTCTCGCTAATAAGAGAATCATAACAATAGCAACAATATTCATAAAAAGTTTCAACTGCTTCGGTATTCATCGACGGTGGCAAGTATACACACGCAAGTGCAAGTTTTGAAATTTTTCGTGGAAGCCATTTTGGTCGGAGAGTAATCCACAGACATTCATAGTCCGAGTTGTAAAAATCTGGACGAATTTTGAAAGGAAGTGATTCTCTTATATATACGGCCACGCCTCCTCCTCTTCGAGTTGGTCTATCTTTCCTAACTATGGTAAAATCAGGAATATGTAAGGCCTCATCGGGAATAACTTCCGTAAGCCAGGTTTCAGTAACCATAATTACGTCCGCATTTTGTTGGTTAATTATAATCATCAGTTCGTCTATTTTGTTGAAAAGAGATCTAGCATTAAAAAGCAGTATATTTGGTAAAGTATGTTTAATATTCTGACGACTAGGTCTTGAAATCGGAATATTTACCAAATTATTTCTAGGTGCATTCTGCCTGCAGTTGTGTTTACGTGTATTGGTAGTTCGACATGAATATATTGTGTTTACGTGTATTGGTAATTCGACACTATTACTCGTTGTGACGGGACTTCTGTAAGGTTTTCTCTGAGTTAGACGTACATTAATTGGTTGGGATTTATAATTGCCAGTGTAATCATTTAAAAATAGGGGTAGGGTATGCTCATTAGTGGCCGTAGGAGCTGTCGATTTTGCGGCATCGCCGTCGGTGGGCATCGATTCAGACCCATCGGAGTGGGGATTTGTTGGAAACCGGTTCCATGAGTTATATTGAATTTCTGCAGACCCACCTCCACCTGTCTCAATATTGACTTGATGCTTTCCAGCGGTTCTAAAAAAGCCGGATTTTCGTAATAATTGGGATAGTGCCGTTGTTGAAAATGGGTGGTTTTGCGAAAAAAGTCGCACTTTTCGCCTTTTAAACAGCTTCCCTTTCTTTCTAGGAAGGGGCATGGGGTCAGGTGCTTGGGTTTAGAAAAGATCTGATGTTCTTTGTTATTAGATTCCAGATTCGAATGGGAGAAGTCACAATTGACTCCTTTAGTGCAATGGCCACGGCGGAGAAGGAATGGACATGGGACAACACTCTTAGGTTTTTGAGACGCACATTCGGAATTAGGCTGTTTATCTGTACTAGTTCTGTCGGGATGGCCAGACACAGCCACTCCTACAACGGGGTTCATATTTTCATTTCTTGTATTCGGGCCATTCGGTTCTTGGAATGTTTTATCCAATTCGACCAATTCAATTATTTTATCATGTTGCTCATTTTGCATGGGGTTTTCATTTTGTGTGCTTTCGCAATGCGTTGTTTGGTTTGAGACTTCAGAGGACGGTTCCGGTTCGTAAACATTTCCTAAGCGCTTAGCTTCAATTATTAATTGCCGTTTGTCCTCATTTACGAGACGCACTGAGGTTACTAAGCTAGCCTTCTCCTCTTCAAGTATTTTAATTTTTGTATTTAAATCAGAAGTAATATAGACTAAGTTGTTCATGCGTTCAAGGTATTCGGCGTTTTCTTTCTTAAGAATTGCATTTTCAGAGCAAATAAGTTCGTATTCTTTTCTAAGTGTGTGTAGTTCAATATATGCAGTATCATTCGATGAGGATTGACATACGGTTTCAAGGTTAGCTATGGCAGTTTTATTCCATAACACCCTTAAGCTGTTGAATTTGAAGCTTGAAGTCATTAATCGCTTCAACAAATTTATCGTTATTATGCAAATTTGAATTTGAAGTATCAAACCTGTTGCACGTTTCTCCCTCCTTGAAGCTTGAGTTAGATTGTTTTATACTGTAGATATCCTGTTCCATCTGTTTAGCTCTAGATCCTTCAAACAACAAGGTTTTCTTACTCTGGTACCATTTAATTTTGACAATCTCACCCTCACTGGAAACTTCATTCTCGTTTGTAAACAGCTTCACCTCGCCGCCAGGGGAAGACCATTTTCCAGATAGGTTTAATTCGTTCGCGATAAAACACTTAAGCGGTTCAAGGTCACCGTTCCACTTAAGTTTAGAGTCTTCTATACTGAAGTGCTTATAGTTATTATGATCCATAGTGAAATACCAGCGTCAGGCTCACTTAGGCTCACTTAATGGCATGTTGTATGTCAATCAGTAACAAATTACTGTAGTGACAAATAATAATATTAATATAGGCTACATTTTAGGGTTTGAACATGATGATATATTATTATAAATATTTTCGTACTTGTCTCTTAATAGCTTTCGTCCTCCAATGATTTCGAGAAAAATTCAACGAGCACAAACAACCTGACATTGAGTACTGGCGCAGGAGAAAAGATTAACCTGACCATGGATTTTCCTGATGATGACAGTCAGGTAAGTTGTTCTGCCACTACTCTATTTAAAAAATGTAAAATTTAACAGCTATATACTCTACATGAAGATCTGATATATTACTATACTGGTTGTAATTAATTTGAATTAAGGCCATGTTACACAGGCAATCTTTACTGCAGGTATAGAGCCACGCATGTACAGTATATACATGTAATGACTGTATTCGCAGGACCTGCGAAGGACCTGCCGCTCAGTCTGTCCCGTGCATGCCGACATGCAAGTTCTGAGCATGGCCCACGTTTTACTCCAACGACACTATAGGCCTATATATACACTAGACATGAATTTAGCATTCGGGGAGAATGTGAAAATGGAGTTAAATGATCTCTTGTATAGGAATCGCCAAGATTGGATGTACATTTGGATACAAATGATCTTGCAGAACTGGGTTATAAGGTAATTTATTTTAATAGCCACGACTTTTTCTATTTAAGTATAAGAAATTGGGAGATACCATGCATATACTGCATGTAAGCAGTGTGGATTATAACGGGCGACACTCGACTATATCTGCCGAACCAAAACAATAAATGGCCGATTAATTTTATTCTTTACGGACATGTTGACCGAACAAATAAAATGCCTGTGCAGATTTTATTTAAACACACACAACATTTGGCTTTGTTGTGACGGGCAACAAAAGTGTATGGTACTAGACATGCAGAAAATTCGAAAACAATATACATGCACTGCATGCATGGTGCAGTGCATGTATATATGCATGTATATTGTTTTCGAATGCCATGGACCAAGACATTTTCGGATATATATTTTTATTATGTAGTAGAGAGTGAGATACTGAAAAATACGTGAAATGAAAAATACGTGAAACACACGTGAAATTTCACAATTTTTGCTTGGGACTATATAATAAACAGAACATTACACGGTGGCTTGAAGATATGACTTTTATCTTCTCGTGTTAAAAACAATATTTTACTCACTCGCTGCGCTCGTTCGTAAAATATCGTTTTCACCACTCAAAGAGAAAAATCATATCTTCGCGCCGCCGTCGGCGCCGTGTAATATCCTCTATATATTTTCCACAAAACAAACCGACTTTACAAGCAATAATAAATTGACTGCATGTAGAGAATATTTTAAAGATAATTTATATATTGTACTACAATTATATCGTCATAGACCTATAGGGCCTAGTCATCAATATGGAATATAGTTAAAACGTCTGTGTGTAATTTTGATCAAATATTATGTTATATCCCTTTCTTCATTTTTTCCGCAGGAATCACCAAGGTTTAACTCTGACTTATATGATCTCAAAAATCTAAATTACGAGGTATAAGTTAAATACTATTGCTGTACATGCATGCATGTAGCTACATGGATATAATGCTGTACATACAAAAACAAATTAAACACCATGCAGGTAGTTAGCACATTGTATTCCTATTTTTTCTGAGATGTTGCTAACGAGTAACGTTAAAATGTAAGGAAATCCTCGTTATTGAAGTTTGCCAACTGAAGCTTACTTTGGGCCATGCATTCTTTTCAATATTTGTATAAACACATTTCGAACGGTACAGCTGCATGCATGTTTGAGCAAAGACTATTTGTATGGCCTTAACATCCCATGTACACTCTAAAAAAAGGTGTGTTAATTTAACACACCTTTTTGTCCAAATTTTAACACACCTTAAGGTGGGTTTTAAAACACACCTTAAGGTGTGTTTAACACAGCTTTTGGCGTGTTTTGTAACACAGCTTAAGGTGTGTTTAACACACCTTAAGGTGTGTTAAACACACCTTAAGGTGTGTTCTAAAACCCACCTTAAGGTGTGTTCTAAAACCCACCTTAAGGTGTGTTTTCGGCTTGTCCAGATTTTAACACACCTTAAGGTGTGTTTTGTATAAAGGTGTGTTTTTGAACACACCATGGCGTGTTTTCGTACACACCATGGCGTGTTTTCATACACACCATGGCGTGTTTTCATACACACCATGGCGTGTTTTAAAACACACCTAAAGCTGTGCTGTATAACACACCATTCAGGTCTGTAATGTTTACAGCACGTTGTAAGGTGTGTTTCATAACACACTAAGGTGTGTTACATAACACACCTACAAAAGATGCTATAATAACACAGCAAACCTAAGGAGGTGTATTAGAAAACACATCTACATATTCTTATGAAAAGTAAAATGACATTAGAGACATGCTCATTTGCACAGAGTTTATCCATGACAAAATATTTATTTGACACAGACTAAATTACATTTTACATAGTTGACTATGTACTTTTACTATGCACTTTTACTAAACCTAACTGTAACAGACAACTTCTCATTCTGATGCAGTGTTCTGGCAATTAGAGTAATGGAGTACTATATTAATTGTCTCGTACTTTACAGCCATGCAATTGTCAAAATATTGCAAGCCCACATCTTCCACAATCAGAATACCTGTCATATGAAACACTGTAACTGATAACTTGCATCCAATCATTCCATCTTTGTATCATTTTCTTTATCGCTCGGTGAACCACAACCTTTGAATCACATAGCCAAGTTCAACCATATTTACAGGTAGTCGTATCAATCCAACATACAAGCCTGTGTCAAGATAAGTAAAAAATTAATATACAATGGGACAATCTAACAGCTTAAGTTTATATATAACATATGTAATTAAGTCTTTAACCCAAGCACGCAGGACTTGTCCGGCGTTTGACAGAGTAAAATAACAAAGGCGGGTCCATTTGGGTGCATTTCGGCCTAATGGGTTATCAAGGCACATTGGCAGATAGTTTGGATAACCATTAGTGAGAGGACACTGCTCTTGAGGAGTAAAATTGTCTGGCATTTCACAAAGTAAAATGTCTGGTGTTAGTTAAGTGCAACATAACAAAGTAGGGTGCACTTGGGCACATTGCTGCTCAAAGGGTTAACAATAAAAGGGTGCATATATTAGCTAAGTATATTGAATATCAATATACAGTCATTTAACAAGTTAATTTGTTTGGCATTTCAAGACATAGGATGCAATGGACTGATACTGTATCTGGCCGGATATTAAGATTTTAATTCATTATCTGGTATCCGGCTACCCAATGCCGGATATTATTCATATAGGGTTCAGGCCTTCTTTTCAGGTTAGAAAATGATTTGATAAGGTTATCATATCATGATCATTGAAGTAAAAATATGATAAATATGATCAGTATTTTCAATGCTTGTTTGTACAGTAAATGGGGATTTGAACTTTTAACTGATGTAAACGAGGCTTTTGTTACCAATGATGCATGTTTGCTACGAACGATGCAGGTTTGCTACCAATGATGCAGGTCTACTAGTTTTAGACTGTTTGCTTTTTAACCAAATAAAATTATTACCAGTACTTAACCTTAAATGATGCCTGAACCTTATATAATTATTTGAATAATACCCTTAATCGGGCTGGATATTTTTCAGCCATCCAGCATATCCTGTATCTGGCTGGATAGCAGAAATACTCTGTCCTGCACACCCCTAGAAAGAACCGAAAGTAGGCAACATTTAAGAGGAAATTGTTTCTTCGGTGTTAATAGGTGTTAAAATGAGTCCATGCAGTCGATAAGTAAAATTGTCTAGCATGAGACGTCACAGTTCAATATTAAAGGACTTAAAGTAGGGAGTGTTAGGGAAAATTGCATCTAAATATGTCAACATGAAACATGGGCAAAATCTAGCTACACACAAATTAACTTGTCCGGCATTAGGAAAGGTGACATAATTTAAGAAAGTGCTGAAAACTGGGTTAATTGGAGTGAATTGGGTTGTTACATATATTACTAAGCAGATCATGTGGGTGGTGTAGCTAGCTAAATGTATTCATGAGTTTGAACAAACAAACAAACTAAGGACTTTAACTGTTTCCAATTAGGGAGATGTCCATATTCAAGTTGCCACACAAAACATCAAATTGACATTTTTATCTAAGCCGATCTATCCATCCTTGAAAACTTCAAGCATGACATACAAAGAAACTTGGAATTTAACCCCCCCCCCCCATTCCATTGATGTCTTAATTAGTACATCTTACTATTATCAGTCTCAGAAGATTCTACTCTTAGACTCCCTCCCCCTCTGGATGACTAAAATGTCCTTTGCATCTAAAAGGGTTACAGTAAATATGAAATGTGACCCTCTGATGTTAGACATAGTAAAATCATGAAGTACTGAAAGCAGTCTGGCTTTTATCTTAATAATGTGTTAACACAAAATGTGGGCAGACAATCTAGTTTCAATGAAAGGTTAAAACCTTTTAAGTCCAACACACTCCCCATTGACAAACAAAATCACCATGCAGGGGTTGATTGTTCGAAAGCCGATAAGTTAACCTTAGATTAAGCAAACTTCCTAACAGTTTGTTTATAAATTTGGAAATATTTCTTTAGACATCTTGTCTGGATCAGTACCATTGATAGGAGTTTTCTTTTCATAATTTTAAAACAAAAAGATACTGTATGTAGAAATACATAAATTTTAACTACGGGTTAGGGTTAATCCAGCTATGCAGGCCTTAAAATATCGGTCGGTCATGGACATTGTCCGATCCATTAGACTGAAATTGTCCGACGTAGAGAGGAAACCACCAGACATTCTGTCCGACCAAAGTGAAATTGAGGTTTATTGTTTGTCCGACCTGAGTGTATTGGTGTCCGACAGAACTGTAGCTTTGTCCATCGTAAATCAAAATGTACCCTATCCCAGGACTAGAGGCTCGTATGTTAAATGGAAAATCAGAGTACTATAGACCTTATTCATAAATCGTGATGAGGCCTCTATCCTAGGAAACGGGGAAAACGCGGGGAAGCTCTGCAGCTTAATGGGTTAAATTAGGGTATGTAAGTGCTAATGGTAACTGAGACATGCACACATAGTCTGTTAATCCATCACAACATCACATCTTAATGGGTTCATGGAATACCGTAAATCTCGGACTATAAACCCTGGGCTATATATTTGGTGGGCTTATACAAAGGGGGGGGGGGTTACAGTATATAGGAGGGATAGAGCTTATACATGGACATTCAATCTTTTGTGTTAGTATAATAAACAAGTCAGTCATAAACAGGAAAATAAACACATAGTAATAATGCACTTTGATTAATTAACGACGTTTTGTTGTTGACTTAAGCTATAAAGACAATGTTTTTAAATATTGTTCTCTGATATATTAACCCATTGAGCCACAACGCGCCCCAGTGTGCTCTACTTTTTTTTCACTTGTCTAACGCCAAACGATTTTGCTCGTCAATGGGGAAACTCTGCAGCTTAATGGGTTGACCAAAAAACTTGACAATGTCTCTGGTAAACCCATCAAGCCGCAATGCGCCCCAGTGTGCCTTACCTATTTTTTTACTTGTCTTATGCCAGACAATTTTACTTGTTAATGGGGAAGCTCCACAGCTTAATGGGTTAATTAAAAGACAATGTCAATGTTGAATAACATAGTGAGCTACTGGGCTTATATTCGGGGGGTGGAGGGGCTGAGTTGTATAGGTTTTCATTGACTGGTGCATAACACCTCTAACAGTGAAATAGATTTTTTCATTGATTGAAGAATTTGGACATAAAAAACCTAGATATATAAAAATTAGAAACTTATGAAAGTAGCAGTTGATTTGAAACAAGTGGTTACATTTTCTCAAACCATGTTTAGCTGGGACATGTGTACTTGAGCATATGATGATTGAGTAGATGCCAAGCTATATTTATACTTTATACCAGAAACATTGTTATCTGGTAGTCTGTCATATATTCATATACACAAATATTAGTTGCCCTTTATACAATAAACATAATTTAATATAAAGTCAAATGTAAGCCTTCTATAAAACTAATATATCATCTTTTTAATTCAAATATTGTCGCGGCAAATTCAAATTTTAAACATGAACACATGCTCAAAATTCATGAATGAAGATAGCGAATATTTACTTTCAAAACTGCTCCATTATACATATAACATAACAATATGCTTACCTGAATGTTATTCAGTCATGCTCGCTGTTACCTCTTCGTTCAAATCATTCGTCGTCGCTTAAAAAAAGCGAATTTTTCGAACCATAAATTCAGAATGAAGGCTTGAAAAATATGGCGTAATGGCGGTGTGAATAAATGACGCTATCCCGGGAAGCTTTGCGCGCGTAGTACGAAAACTAGGCACCAGTCTGTAAAATCGCGCTCATCGTGAGAATTTTCGTTTCTTTCGATCCGAAGAGCTTCAAAAGGCCAGTTACCGGCTATATTTCAGATATTAATGGTGTGCTAAAGACAGATTAATCTCTTAGAAAATAAATAGTCCCAGTAATGCTCTTGCTACATGCGAAAGAATAAAATACTACACAACAAATATCAAACGGTTATTAGACACGTAAAACTTGATATCGCCGGCAAAGTCGATATCGCCATTTACATCTACTGTATATATCCGAAAAACATATTATAGCATACATTACCGTGATTGATGATTGGATTTATTGTATGTTACTAAAAAGCATTTTTCAGTACACACCGTGCACGCGTGTTTTCCAAAATCGGCGTAGGGTGTGTTATCTAACACACCAAGATGTGTTTTTGCAAATTAGTATGAGGTGTGTTCCCGAACACACCAAGGTGTGTTTTCATTCAAAAGGTGTGTTATTGAACACACCTTATATGCATCAAAGGTGTGTACGAAAAGGTGTGTAAAATACAGGTGTGTTTCTTAGCACACCTAGGTGTGTTTTGTTACACACCATGGTGTGTTTTCTAACACATCATGGTGTGTTTTCTAACACACAAAGGTGTGTTTTCTAAAATTGTATAGGAAGGTGTGTAAAATGTACACACCTTGGTGTGTAATTAAACACACCTTGGTGTGTAATTAAACACACCTTGGTGTGTAATTGAACACACCTGTTTTTAGAGTGTAGGTTCTAGAATCTTTTTGATTTAGTTCAATAATTCCATGTTTATAGACCCCTAAGGACGTATATAAATAGCTAGACAATTCGCTAAAAAGTTTCGCTCTTATATTCCTCTTAAATACACTAATTTCCTCTTAAATACACTAATTTCCTTTATCATCTTGATTCGTGTGATAATGAATTCCAAGCCCTTATCATTCTAAGGAAATAAGAATGTCCATAAAATTCAGTCTTACATTTAATCTCAATGAAATTGCTAATATTGAAAGATCTAGTAACATATTCAGGAGCCCATTTTTTAAGAATATTTGATAAATCTACGTTTCCTGCTATAAATGCAATCCTTCTATAAATGTACAATATTAACTAAACACATGCATGGGATATGTAGTAATGGATATTCATCAATGCACTATTAAAGTGCATATATATTCGCATGTGGTGACTAGAAGGTTTGAATATTTGCGAGCTTTGAGCAATGTTGATTTACTATGCAGACTGCAGTTCGGCCAGTTTCTGAATTAATTAACAAGCCATTTAATTATGTACATCCAATAATTAACAGCCAAATTATGTACATCCATATGTTTAATATGTCTTTTGCCTGAACTCTATAATCTTTCACAAATACCACTTTCACCTAAATATTATAAAATAGAAATTGTTGGTAAGTACTTGTACACGTCAATATCTTGATATATAAATTCTTATCATATCTTTGATTTCAAACAAGAATCACCTGATCACCACGCACCTATAGGCGTGTTCATTGTTGTTGGACTTCCGGGAACACCGGTGTTCCTTTGTTTATATTTAAATGCTACTTGTTTGAACTAGTTCGTGTTAGAACATTCACAAAGTACAGGATCTAATTTTTATTAGTATATGTAAAAACGGAAACAATAATTGCCACACGTACATTCAATCCAGGCACATGTGAACAGGAATAGCATGTATAAAATAATAAATGTAATAGATGCTTTCTCCGCAGAGTAAATAATAAAATTAATATAATCTTTTGGGGCTTATTGCTGCTTAATGGAACTGTAATGATATCATTCAACAATTGAATAAATTAAAACTTCAATCATAATTTTAATAATAATAATCAAATTATAATAATTTTATGGTAATAAATATATTTATAATTATTATGTATTAAATTAACAACATGAATCTCAAATTTTACTCATATCCAAAAACTTTCTCCATGATATGTTGCAAATCACATTGTCTTGAAGGTGACAATAAATCAGTTCAAGCCCTCTTACACAGATATCTCATGATACATGTCACTGGAATATTGCTTAATTTTTCTATTGCACCGTTGATTGTTTCCGCCTGTTGCTTCAACGTAACAGTCTTTTTCCAGAAAAATGACTTTTCCCAGTTTATTGATACTACAACATAACGATAACATAACGATTCCAATTGATTGACTCCAATCTTTTAAAATTTATGTTGCAAATATTAATATTCCTACTCCACGTATTCATGTTCCAACAATCAATATTCATATCCCTAACCAAAGTACTGATACTCCTACCTTCAATATTCACTTTCGCACTACTTCAAAACAACTACTCAACATTCAATATTTAATATTCATCTTCCATCCCAAATAGTCCATGCCAATTGCCCAGTCCGTACCATGTTTTATTATGTTCATCTTGAAATCGTTAGAACCTCTTGCATTCCGATTGGCTCTTAATAGTGCGGTTTCGGGACTAATAATACAAATGAATCCATTACTTTATGCTGATTGGCCATAATGCTGAATCACACCCTTGATTCCTCCCAAATTCGACATTCCTCCCACCATTATTAAATCATCATTAAGGGTCAACATGCAAACTGTTTCGGCCTAGCTCACACCTACGCTTTCTTTGTTTGCAGGAAATAATGACGTAACATTTAACTAAGACTAGTATAACTTAATGTTTTGGTTCAATAAAGGTATTCCTTGTGCTAGTGCTCCATGTTTCAATAATGGGACTTGCTCAAATAATGGATCATCATCATTCTCATGCTCATGTCCTGGTGGGTTCCGAGGTGTCCGCTGTGAAATCAAAGGTATTAATAATTTTATCATAGTGATCTGAAGACATGCAAAAGTCATGATTAAATATATGCCATCTGAAAGGAATGGAACCCGCGGCTCTGTGATTCTGGTGGCGCGCTTTAACCAACTGTGCTACAGAGTCCAGTTACCATGCTCTAACCACAAGCGCATTTTGATCACAAATCATGTCAATTTATTGATCAATTTATATTATGTGGACGAGATACAAGACAAAAGAATCGTTTGCTATGAATATTTCAATGTCTACATATGGTTTGTAAGTACTAGTTAAGTTATGAGCAGCTGATCTTTATCTGATATACAAACTCAAGTCGAAAGGCGAGAGTTTTTATATCAGATAAAGATCGGATGCGAATGTTTTAACGTGCTTAAAAAACGACACATCTTATGAGTTCATTCGCGAAGTAATTTTAAAAATAAACATTGCCTAAGCCGAGAAAATCAAAGCTAAAGTTCATGTAAATAAAGCAGGAAAAATCTTTATCCGGTTTACAAACATTGATTAAACATTCATTTCTTTTGTAATTTTGTATGAATTAATTAATAAGCACAGTTATCATTAAGTCTGCGTTGGGTAGAGGGCCTCACCGTTGGCAATTTTTTAGCCAAAAAATATATATATCGAAAGTTCTCAAAGTTTATATCTCATACAAATATAATCCTGACAAAACAATAGCCCAAATCCAATTAAATATTTTCGGGGAACTGTAAAGTACTTTATTATATAAACATAAGTGTTATATAGAGTAGTTGGCCACTGAAAAAAATCGAATGTAAACGCACGTAAAAAATGCGATATTTTTACATGTGAAAATGTCATTCGTTGTAAAACGCATTGCCACGGACGTTTTGTTGTTTTTCACTGAATTTTTTTCATATAATAAACAGAAAAACACATGGGTGCTTGGAAATACCAGATTTTTTTCTCGTGTTGAACATGATATCTCACTCGTTCGCTGCGCTCACTCGTGAGAAAACATGTTCAACACTCGAAATGAATCTGGTATTTCCGCGCACCCATGTATTATTCTCTATTATTTTATAGCCCATCTGGAAGGAATGGAATCGGCGGCGATTCTGGTGGCGCGCTTTTGCCAACTGTGCTACAGAGTCTAGTTGCCATGCTCTAACCGCAAGCGCAATATTCATCACAAATTGTGTCAATTTGTTGATCAATTTACATTATGCATGTGAACGAGTTACAAGACAAAAGAGTCGTCTTCTGTAAATAGTTCAATGTTTACATATGGTTTTTAAGCACGTATATCAAGTCTGCGTAGGGTAGAGGGCCTTGCCATTGCCAATCCTTTTTAGCTAAAAATATTTCGAAAGTACTCAAGGTTTATATTAGCAAACAAATATAATCTTGAAAAAAACCAATAATCCAATTAAATATTTTCAGATACACATAAACCAAGTTCATCCAATCCGTCATCATCAGGCGGCAGCCTTGGTATCATTGTCGGAATTATGTTGGTTTTTGTTGTTGTCATAGCAATAGTTATCGTGACTTGCCTCTTCTACCGAAGAAAACGAGGAAAAGGTAACTCGCCAGATATTGGTAACATTCAAAATACTGCTTATGAAGGTGACAAACCACGAAGCATGGAACTGCAAAAAATACCTGATTCTGAAAGCTGTTACGAAGAACCAGCAGTATATGCACAACTCGCCAATTCTTTGAGAGTTCCCGTTGATGAGAATTATCAAAGTTTATTAAATGTTCAGAATTACGAGCAACCTGACAAAGATTACGTCAATTTAAATGTTCAGGGGAATCCTTCCATGAGCATGGATACCAATCCAAAACACGAGGTTCCTGGGGAATCTGAGTACGAAATAATGGCTTAGTGTGATCGAGAGAAGTCACACATTTCATCAATAATTTCAATTCCGAATATATTACTTATTTTTATATATTTAAGAAATACTCTAACAACGACATTTAATCTTAGTCGGTTCACAACATTTTTTTATTTCCGCACTTTGTGTATTTTTTTAGAATAGGCTACATTATCAAAACGAGATCCATTACCAATTGCGTTGCGCACATGAATACTAATTAAACTGATATCAAAATCGACGTATATATAAACGTTGAAATGTAGACTTTTACTTGCTTGTATTTTATGAATTTAATAAAAAATTAAGACAAAAAACATACAATGGATTTGTAATTACTCAACAATTTGAAGTAAGAACAGTTTATCGGCGAAAGCAGTTTAGTTATTAAAATGACATTTCATAACATTTTACGAAGCGATTCAGGTTAAATTTTACATTGAATCAAAGTGACAAAGCTCACAAAATCCCGAACAACATACCTACAGTACATACTTCGGAAATTCATTGCTATATAGTTAAAAGCAATAATCTTTCGACCATTAATTTGCCATGTTGCACAAAAGTATAATGAAAATAAAAAATATCGTGTTGCCAAGGCATCACTGACATAAACGCGCGAGTCTGCGTTCAGTGTGGATCAATTACTAAATTAATACTTCATGTTAAATCAATGTTTGGAAAATATGGGTGAGGGGTTGCAGGATGCATGCATGTATTTCTAGTAAACTATTACTGCATTTTACTTCTTCTGGAAGTTCGTTCCAAACTTTTGCTCCAGAAAAGGCAAAATATACGTCGAATTTTGGTCGCGTCGAATGCAATTAAGACAACATATAATGAGATGATAAACCTCAAAAAGCTTCTGTATCATTAACTATTGTTGGAAGTGCTTTCCACACGACCAAAATTCGACGTATAAAACAAACCTTAGGCCCCGCCGGTTTACGCTGTTCCAGGTTCCCTGGTCACGACATCAGTTTTAACGGTCAATGAAATAGCCTAAACATTTATAATGGTAGTAATAAGCAGAAACATATACTGACGTTATCGAAATTAAGGGTAAACCTTTATTGTTAAACGTTGCTCCTGGGGAGCAAACGAAGATGCCCTGACCAGTGAATCCGGTATGGTATAAACGGGATCTTAGTAAGTTTAAGTATATATCTGGTGAGACTTTGTGTTGAAAGTTTGTGCTTAAATGAAATATTTGAAGGCAAATAGAGTTTTTATGAGTTTCTTGGTTGAAAAATTTAATCCAAGTTGATCACACGGAAGTTGCCGATGTGAAGGAAGAAGCAAGGTGGATTGGTGACGAGCCTCGGTCTGGCGTAGAACGCCGACAAAAAACCAAGACTACCACGTGAGATCGGCCTCATTTGCCGCTTGATTTCGCCGAGAACAGCAGAGAAATTTTGAAGTCTTGGATATTTTCAATCCTTCACATCTTGTGTTAAATATATATTGGTAAGAAATCCTTTTAGTAATTAACTTTCATTTACAAAGTTTTGTTTACGATCTTAATTTCTCTTGCATTGATTTTACTAAATATAATATTTTGCGTTTGGATTTGTGTTTTAAGTCAACGTTTAGCCATGGCAAACACCGACCCTAAAGTTATCATTTTAGGTCAATCTTTTGTAAAACGTCTTCAGTGTGATTTAAATTCATCTTTCGATCCAAGGGCACGTAACGATTTTAAACTTCGAGGTACAGCTTCTGTCTCTTTACACGGCGTAGGAGGCAGAACTGTGAGTAAACTACGCCAATTTGATTTAAACATTTTGAGTCGATTACGTCCAGTTATTGTTATTCTGGGAATAGAAACTAACGATCTCAGCCATCAAAGGCCTGAGGTTGTTGGATCCTCGATTGATGATTTAGTTTGCCATATTCTAGGCGAATTTTCGAGCGTCCGAGCTATAGGTGTTTGCCATGTGATTCCCCGCAGTTATTTGTATATCTGGCGGCCGAACAATTTTTTCAAAAGGTAAAGCTTTTGAATCAATATCTAAGCGTTGTATTGGAGCAATATCCTAATGTTTTTTGTTGGCAACACAAGCAATTTAACAGTATATTTAAGGATTTATATTTACATGATGGCGTTCACCTCAATAGATTAGGTCAATATTTTTTATACCGTAGTTATCGAGGTGCCATATTACAAGCTTTGAGCATGCTGCAGTTATAGGTTTAGGTGAGTATAGCACTAGCCACTGCGTCAACCATGTGTTTGATAAGGCTATCGTGTTACATTTTTACATTTGTAATTAGTTTTTATTAATTCCTTGTTTGCCAATTTTGAAGTAACACTGTCATTGTATTTATATCATGGGGATATAGTAATTTATTGAGACATTGGCATTGTCCAGCTCACTTTAATTTATATCGGTAATTTAATGCTATTTAACATGAGCATTTGGCTGTTTATAAGTTGGCCTTTAATGCCAGTGTGGGTTTATAACTCTAACTTATATCATTTGGCAGGTTTACAATTGTGCCCGTAAGGTCTTTGTTACCTTTTGGCGATATATTATATATTTTTCATGCCAGTGTGGTTTAATATAATCATTTGGCACTTTTTCAATTTTGTCAGTGGGGTCTTTGTTACCTTTTGGCGATATATTATATATTTTTCATGCCAGTGTGGTTTAATATAATCATTTGGCAGCTCTACAATTTTGCCAGTGAGGTCTTTGTTACCTTTTGGCGATATATTATATATTTTTCATGCCAGTGTGGTTTAAGATAATCATTTGGTTTGTTACATTTTTGCCAGTGAGGTCTTTGTTACCTTTTGGCGATATATTATATATTTTTCATGCCAGTGTCGTTTAAGATAATCACTTGGTTTGTTACATTTTTGCCAGTGAAGTCTTTGTTACCTTTTGGCAATATATTATATATTTTTTATGCCAGTGTGGTTTATTATAATCATTTGGCTTCTTTACACTTTTGCCAGTGAGGTGCGTTGCCTTTTGGCTAGTTGTGTTTATAAAAATTTGCATGCCAGTGTGGGGTTTATATAACTTTTCAGGTCAAATAGCTGCCAAGTTATGTATGTTTCTTTCATATAGTATAATATGCCTCGGCGTGCAACACGATCCACCTCGAATCCGGGTCCAAGCGCAGCAGACGTTGTTTCAACTGTGAACCGCCCAGCTGTAAAACGGCCAGCCAAAAAGGCAACTCGACCAGCAAAGAAGTCAAGGTCAACATCCAGCCAAATACCCGTACAAGCGGTTGAAGTTGCAGCAACAGCACTGACCGCAGATCTACTTGAGCAGCTGGTGACAAAGGTTGCTGATGTTGTGATACAGAGACTATCTGGAAATTCCATGGGTACCAATCCAACCGCTTCAGTCAGCCTACCAGGGTCGTCGAGTCCACATCCGCCAGATGCCAGCATTCTACGGCAGCCAGTAGACCACAACATCTTGCAGGAAGTCCAACCTACAATAGATTCCCTGGTCGAAGTAGCTGTGGGGCAGTCCCAAGAAGCTATCGCAGGTATACGTTATGGTGATACACCATCTATTCCAAAAACTATTTTCCATTCAAGCAGCCTGGAAATAGATTCTAGAGTGAACGATAGAGTAAAAGCCAAAATTTGGAATAATGAATATGTGGAATTTAGTACCCTTATTTCTAGTCAAGGGAACAATAAGTTCCAATTGTCTTTTCAAAGTTTAGAGGGTAATAATGGTCCATCTATTTGTCTCGAGCCAATTAACCGGAGCCAAAAAATTTTCAATATTAATCAATGGCTCCAAGCATTTCATATATTTGTAGGAGTCTACACTCGTAGATTTCCAAATGAATCACCGGGGTTGATGAAGTACTGTGAAATAATCCAAGACTTAGCGTCACGGGGTTTCAACTGGAAATTTTATGATGAGAACTTCCGTTTTTTAAGACAAAATCCCGCTTCAGCCTTGCCTTGGGGAAGTGTTCATTTACTGTCCCAGCCATTTACTGGCCCTGCCAAAGGTAGCGATAATCAACGTGTACCACATGGTTTTTGTTTCAAATTCCATCGTGGGTTAGATTGTGCAGATTGTGCTTTCAAACACACATGCTTTCATTGCCCACGCGAGCATCGAGCGAGTCAGTGTAATTTTTTTCGTACCCAAGGCAAAGCTTTTGGCAAAAACACACAATTTCACAGACAGGCAGCTCCCCAATCCGGTAAAAGTTGATCGTTTAGTAATTTTTCTGGAAGGATATGATCAGTTATTAACTGAATTTTTGGCACATGGTTTTAGTGAAGGTTTTCCTTTACATTATCAAGGCGCTTATAAATCATTTATTGCAAAAAATTTAGTATCTGCTTTGAGCAATCCACAGGCAGTCGATGCAAAAATTTCAAAGGAATTGTCGGCCTGTCGTTTAGCAGGTCTTTTGATAAACCACCCTTCCAAGATATTTGGGTATCTCCTTTGGGAGTTGTTCCTAAGAACGTGCCTGGCGAATTTCGTCTTATTCATCATCTTTCATACCCACATGGGTCATCTGTAAACGATGGTATACATCATGAGCATTCAACTGTTTCTTATTGTACAATAGACGATGCTATGAAGCTTATTAAGCAATTAGGTCCAGGATGTTTTATTGCAAAAACAGACATTAAAAATGCTTTTCGACTATTACCAATTCAGCCGAAAGATTATCCTTTATTAGGAATAATGTGGAAGGGGGTTTATTATTATGATCGCTGTATGCCTATGGGTTGCCCGAGTTCTTGTTCAACTTTTGAGAAATTTAGCACGGCTGTTCAGTGGATAGCTCAAAACAAATTGAATATCCATTATATGTTACATTTACTAGATGATTTTTGATCAGCTGCAATGACTGAGAAATTGTGTAAGGACCAGTTACAATTATTTCTGTTTTTATGCGATTATTTGGGCATTCCCATGGCACCTGAAAAAACTTGTGGACCTTCAACAAAACTGTCTTTTGCCGGAATAGAACTGGACACATTATTATCTGATACTCGTTTGCCACCCGAAAAAATCGAGAAATGTATTTCGATTATTTCAGAATTTCTCGGTCGAAAAAAGGTAACATTGAGAGAAATTCAATCACTAAATGGCCTTCTTAACTTTGCATGTTCTGTGGTAAGGCCTGGTCGAGCCTTTTTACGCCGTTTAATCGATTTGACGATCGGCATTAAATCTCAACATCACTTTATTCGCGTTAGTAAAGAAGTCAAAAAAGATCTGAATCTTTGGTTGTCCTTTCTCTCGAATTTCAATGGCAAATCATTTTTTATTGATGATATATGGCAGTTGTCTAATGATATAAATCTTTTTACGGACGCCTCCGGGGCTTTAGGGTTTGGTGCTGTATTTGGAAACCATTGGTGCTATGGGAAATGGCCTGATAATTGGGTTAACACTCACATTGCAATATTAGAATTTTATCCAATTGTTTTGAGCTTGCATTTGTGGGGTGCAGATATGAGTAACCGCTCAATTATATTTTATACTGACAACGAAGCTTTAGTTCATGTCATTAACAAACAGTCATGCAACGAGAAAACTTTAATGGTCTTTGTCCGTAGACTTGTTTTGCTTTGTTTACAATTTAATATCATGTTTAAGGCAAAACATTTACCGGGTATTAGGAATAATTTAGCGGATGCTCTGTCTCGCTTACAGGTGCAGAGATTTCAACAATTGGCTCCACCAACTATGGACCATTCACCAACCATCATACCTGTCCGTCTGCAGCCAGAGAATTGGTCCCTACAGTAGCGAGTCTAGTGCTATCTAGCCTTCAACCTTCTTCTCGACCAACCTATCGTAGGGCATGGAAGCTATTTGAGCAATTCCACGGGGATTGTTTCAGGTTTTTCAATATCATTTCCAATTAAACCAGCTGTGTTGGCTTTGTTTGTCGCGCACCTGTACAATAAACGGTACACTTCGTCTACAGTTAACACCTACGTGTCCGCATTAGGTTATTTGCACAAATTATCCGGTTATGCAGATCCTACCAAGGTTTTTTTTTTACATTAAGCAGATGTTAAAAGGTTACCTCAAGTTAGGGTGTCGCCTAGACACCAGGTTGCCCATCACACTGCCTTTACTTCACAGGATAATTGCTATTACTCATCAATTTTCTATATCACAATATGAGATTACACTTTTTCAAGCAATGTGCTCTACTGCATTCCATGCATTTTTGCGGGTTGGTGAAATGACAGCTACTCAGAATAAGGGAGTTCAATCAAACTTAGATCTGACCCAGCTGACTAAGATGGTAGATAGTTCGGGCAAAGTTGTGTCTAAAAAAATCACTTTTTTTATTTCAAACACAATTACAACCAGCGCCCGTTCTCCGTTATTGTTAAGAAGCAATTACATTTTTGTCCTGTATCTAAGCAACAGAGGTTTACAACAAGGTTTTTTGTTTGTTTTGTCAAATGGAAATCCTGTTCCTCGTAACTATTTCGCACAACAACTGGCATTAGCTCTTAAATTTTGCAATTTAAGCCCTAATGTTTATAAGGGTCACAGTTTTCAGATAGGGGCTGCTTCTCATGCTGCAGATCGGGGTATGTCGGATGCTCAAATACGTGCTCTCGGTAGGTGGAAGTCCAATGCATTTCTGAAATATATCCGACTTCCTTCCCTTTCTTCTTGAATTTGTTTATTTATAAGGATGAGTGGAAAACTGATTAGCAGGGGCAGCAGTTTCTTACTGGTCCTCTATTACGGAATGCTATGTAAGCATTGTTTATAGCATTTATTTACTATACACATTAATATTACTATAATTATATAGCGAACATTGGTTGGACTGATTAGCAAGGGCAGCAATGTTGCCAATGTTTGTTGTCTCCTTATAATAGTATTCAATTAATAGTTTAATATAACATAGCAAACATTTGTTGGACTGATTGGCAAGAGCAGCAGACCGACGAGTGTTTTTGTTGTTTATTGATATTAATGTTTATGCTTCATTGCAATACTTATCAGACAAGGATGTGTATTTTTCTTCGGGTGGGGCAGCATCATTTGCATGACGCTCTTGGCGTTTTTGTGCCCTTCACCTTTACTGGGTAAGACTATATTA